ATTAGGTGCCATCGTCGACTATGATTCATAGCAGCCCTACGAATGACGGGTCTGAACCTTGCCCTCTCCTGTGCCATCCTCATTGTCTTTGATAGTTGAACACACTGATTCAGTCATCATGTCAGTCTGTCTCGTAGAACGTCTTCCTCTCTTACGCTTGACCCTCTATCATTCCTGGCATGGACTCTTTTCCCCAAGACTGTCTTTTTCTTAATGAGATGCACAAAAAGATGTGAGGCAAAGTTTCACCATCCTTGCTTCTAAGGAGTCTTCTGGTTGCACTTTCTCCAAGATGTTGTTTGTTCGTTTTTAGCGTTATTCAACGGTTATTGTCTTGGTTTTAATGATTGTACTATATAACTCGTTGCTGTTGAGTCAATTCTGACTCATAGTGACCCGATATGACAGCACAAAACTGCTCTGTCAGATCACCAAGGCACACACTTATCTTGGGAGAAGTGTGACTAGAATGTTCCTTAGGAGCAAGAATGATGAAAGGTTGTCTCACATACTTTAAGCATCTTGTCAGGAGGGACCTGTCCTTGGTACGGTAGATCCTTCAGGGAAAGGAAGGCTTTTAGCAAGATGGGTTGACAGGGTGACTACAACCATGGGATTAATTGCAGTGTAGGTTGTGAGGATGGCATAGGGTCAGGAAGGAGTTCAGTCTGTCGTACGCAGTGGCACTGAGTTGAAATAGACTCAGTGGCACCTAACAACACAACAGCCTTTATGTATGTGGATGACCACATTTGAGGAGCAGCGGATGCATTTCAGCGGCTGTTTGGTGACAGCCTGGCATCTTACCACTGCACCACCACAGCTCCGTCTTGAAACCTCAAGCCGCCTTATCTTATAAAATCGTCTGAACAGTTTCCTCCTTGTGACAGTGATGAGGATTACTGTGCTGGGCTTGGTGCCCAGGGAGTGCTCCTGAAACGAGGTCCCTAGGAATCAGAGTCTCTGCCTCCCTTCTGGAAGGCAAGTCAGGTATGGCAGAGAGGGGGGCAGGGCTGGCAGACCAGGGCCACCAGGGTCAGCAGGTGGGAGGCTGGGAGTCTCCCATGTATGACGTTGTGTGTGTTTTTCTGAGACTCAGGAAAGTTTTGGGTTTTTTTAAAATTTTTGTCTTACTATTTTTGTGTGTGTGTGTACTGTCAAACTGGATCTGATACAGGAGGAGATTGTCCCTCCTTCTTCAGCAGAGCATCTGGAGGATTCAAACCACGCACTTCTCAGATTGCAGTGCAGCTTCTTGCCACTAGGCCACCAGAGCTCACCAACTCAGGAAGGTTTTAGTGTCTGCCCCCACCTTGGGAGAAAGATGCACAGTCTCCCTCTGTGTGATTTACAGCTTCAGAAATCCAATGGAGGATTGATTATTCCGCCACGTGTCATTCAAACTTGACAGCAGTGAGGGGAGGTGTGTGTATGAGTGTGTGTTTTGAGGTGAGGGGGAAGGTAGGACATCCCCTTCATAACTACTCTGGACCTCCTTATGAGATCTGACACTTCTCGTTGAGATGGGAAACTGAGGCACAAAAAGGTTAGCATGGAATGACCAGCAAATGAACTAAGGAGGAGGTTCGCTATGGGAGTGTGTGATGGGGAATCCACTACATTCCACTTCCATCTCTGCAAGAGAGACGACAAGAAAAACAGAGATCCAGAGACAGGGGAGACACTGAGATGGGGAGACATTGGAGAC